TAGAAAACTCCTTAAACTTCTACGAAAAAAAAACTTCTGTTTGTGTGTGGAAAATAAATGAGCATTCTATGGTGTCTGCAAATATTTTATGTTTCATGTGTGGGTGGCCTGTTTGCCTAATAATAAACTGTCGTTGGATAAAACTTTAAAAATAATCTTGCAATAAAATATATTTTCTGTTTACTTCCGTTTTCTCTCTATCAATATTTGGGAATATATGGGAATTTAAATCAATGTGGGAAGAGTTTTAGAAATAAGTGTGGACTAGATATTGCATAGAGTGATAAATATATGTATAGGGGTTTCATAAAAACAAAATCATTAGAAATAACTAAAAAATAGGATTTATTGTCTTCACTTGTTTTTTCTAAGCTCCTGTGCCCAGAACCAATGCCTCTCCTTGATAGTATGATTCTCATACCCATTTTCACTCACATTAAGTAGTGTCACTCTTAACTGAAAGCCAACTAGCTCTTGTAGAATCTACTCTCTTATGAAAATATATGCTGCACAAAAAACCACACAATAGTGCGCAAAAATTAAAATAAAACCCTCTCTCTTACACAAAAAATAACAAAAAAAAAAAGATGGAAAAGTGAAACGTTTCCGCTTCGCACTTGCCGCTAATAAATGGTGAGAAATTTCCATAAAATAAAAGTAAACGTAAAAAAGCGCGCACACACACACACTCACGCAGGAAGCGGAAACGAAGTTTATGTCTATGCTGTGGGACCTGCCAGGAAGTAGTAAAATCCCTAATAGAAATGAGGCGTGGCCGGGCAAAGCAAACCACACAAAACTAATTTCCCCAAGGCGCGTTGGAAGAATAACAACCAACAGAAATGGGAGGCACCCGGCCCTCGGGCAGAGCAAACACCACCAACTCATTTGAGCAGACAGGATTAGCGAGGTTTTCGTATATACATATACATATGTACATATGTATATGGGGGATCTAATGGGGCGTGTTTATATTGGGGAGAACGTAGGATATTGAAATGGATAAACATAATTTCTTTCCTTTTTATTTAGTTGGACAAATAAGTAGTATAAGTAGAATGTTTTATAAGGGTATAGTCAATCGCAAAAATTGCGAAATATCAGCAAAGGTATTGAAGTAGTTGAACTCTTTAGACGCTGGCTTAAAAATACCTAAAGAAGCATGGGTTTAAATTAAAATCTGATCATCATGGAGTTTTTATTATGGTTTTCTTCGCTCTGCGTTTCTGTTGCACGTATGCAATCTGGAATCTGGCATCCGATGGGGTGCTAATTAGCGCGCAAAAACCAAGGATTACAAGTCGTCCTCATAGATAGAAGGTCTTTCGCTTATTCGGCAGAGTCGTCTTTTGGTTCCATGCCGAGCTTGATATGGAAGATACTCTGTTGGATCTAGTAATCCATCTACTACAAAAGATATCGAAGATTTTAAGCTGAAAGTCACCACCAACCAGACCCACATGCAGGACCGCAGTACCAAGAAGACGGCGAAGGTGAAAAAGATAAAGTTCCGGGCAATAGTTTTTAATAGTCTTTGCTCCCTTGCTGCACTATAATACTTAATCGAAGGATTTTTTATATATGTTTTATTTACTCGACAACGATATTCTCTAAAGCACAAAACTATATAAATCATATTACTGAAGCAACTATAATTTAGCAATTTAAATATTTGTTCTGTCTCAATGCAGAGTTAATTTCATGTTCCTTTCAATTGTGAGAACTGACATTTTGTGACAACATGATTTAATGGGAACTAAAGGGAACTATTCCAAATTGAGTAATAATGTCTTTATGAATTAAAATTGATTATATTCAATATCTGTGCTGCAATAATTGAATAGAAAATAATTGTACCCCAAATCTATGTTAAAATTTACTTTAGTTGAACTTTACCCATTACGAACTCTCCACAATTATTTTATTTTTAAATGCAATCTCTCTGTGGTTTTAGTTAATTTTCCTTTGCAGGCTTTGTGCGATTTTTCACGCCTCAAAAAGTGTGACAAAGTATTAAAAATGTGGCTGCCACACAAAGGCGGAGCCATATACAGTGGCAATGAAAAAATACGTACATATAAATAAGCAGCAATTCGACACCGGCTTCAGTGCCTCTTCAGGCTGGATGCTCGACGTCCTCTGGCTGAGTGTTATTATACGTAAGGCCAAAGACTGACGACTGACGACGACTGTCTTCCTCTTAGGCATAATTGTTGCTTTACTTAGCCCACCCACAAGACCAGGAGCAGGAACTGCTGCCTGCGCCACTTGGTTTCCCCTGTTTTCGTGTTTTCCGGCTGCACCTTTTCAGCTTTTTGCCTGTAGTTCATTTCATTTCGTCTGGTAGCACTCGGCCTCAGCGTTTTCATTTTCACTTTTCTTTGACTCGCATTTTCTTTCCTTGATTTTCTGCTGTTGCCGCTACTGGGGCTGGCTTTATGACTTTTGCCTTTTAGTGGCCTCTTAAGAGGCTCAAAGTGTTTGGCAGCCCACGCCGCATATGAGTAATGCGCGGGGAAGTGATGCTCGATATTACTTATACGCACATAATTCCCGTGCTGCCAATAATAAACACCTTTGGGGGCATATCAAGGATGATTCAAAATGTTGTGGTGTGTCCCCACACCCGTAGGGGTTGTATATTCCAGTGATATATTATTTGTGTTTAGGAGTTCCCTAACTATTAAGTTGAAGATGTTTTTTGCACTTAAACAAGAGGCATAATTAATGGGATTCCAAAAGGGACTGCTCTTGAAATATAATGAAATAAAAGTTATGCGAATATAATCCAATTAATTCTAGTTCTCTGGCCTTCATATTGTTTGTGCCAATGTGCTGTAAATTCCAATCCATCTATCATCTGTCTTTAAGTATATTCCTATGTATTCTGTAGTAAAACAAAGCCAGGTACAAATATATTTCAATTAAATGTCATTTTGGTTGCTACCCATTATTAGGAATATAGCTCCTCATTTGGGGCTACTCTCAGTTACCTCCGAGTGTTTGCATTTAGGTTATATCGAGCTAGCGCCAGTCGTCACATCATACTTCAGTTGGAAGGGGGCTTATCAAACTCTACAGCTGTCGTGGCAGGTCTTAAGGCTGCTGTGCCCGTATTTTGAATATTTGTTTGCCTTTCCATAGCGTCCTCGGTCTCCCTTTGGCTTATAATGTTTCCACTTGAAATTAATTTCTCAAGAGCTCAAGTGCACATGTGACGAGAACACAAACACTGGTACTCCGACAACATATGTGCACGCGTATGTCTAGGACAGGATTCCCTTTTCCAAACACTATCTAAGCAAACAATATTTGGCTTGTACACATATTTACTCGTACAATCTATGCATATACATACATATGTATATTTTGTATATTTTGTGTTCTGGGAGTGAGAGTCATGCATTATGTCGTCGCTTGTTAAATCTGTTCAATCTGTGCGTGCGATGACATGTGTTTTGTGTCTGGGGCTGTAGCTTCACTGACAGCTTAGTTATAGCCAAAAATTCTGCATTCGCATATTAATAACTCACATGATAATTCAACCGGAGGCCCAGAAGGCTGTTGATGTGAGAATGTTGCCATTAAAATGGTTTACTTTCGGTTAGTTAACCATGGAAATAAATGTGTTTGGTTATCTAATTTGTAAAGGATAGAGTAAGTAAACTTGAACTTTTGTGAACTTTATACATATATCCTTGGGTAATACGAAGCTAAACTTTCTGCTCATTGGCACTTAATAATAATTTGCTTATGCCAAAGTAAAATCAATTCATCAATAATTTTTTTAGATCAAAATTAAGACAAAATTAAATTGGGGAATATGGTAGAAGCTGCGAAATATCCTCTGTTAAAGCATGGAATCCAAAAAAAAAATACGTATCTGAGCGTTTATTTATTTCATTTACCATTGAGCACTTACGTATTGCTAGAAATTTTTCTGCATCAAATGAAATTGAAGTTCCGCTGCCCTGAGTCCTGCCAGATCCCCGCATTTTCCGCATTCCCCGCCTTTCAATGCTATCAATATCGTGACGGGGCGAGGGCCAAGGCAATCAACAAGAAATACATTTACCCTGGCGCTCGCTGCGCGATTTTCCTCATCGTTGTGCGTCTTTTCTTTTCCATTTTTTTCCTTATGAAATCTCGCATGGTTCATTGCTGATGGTTTTGGTGGGGTTCGGGGTTGGGGGTGGGAATGGCTATGGCGATGGCGATGGGTGGTGCCAAAAAGTGGCTCCATCGAGTGGGGCCTTAGAATGCTCAGTGAAGGAAGAGCAGTCAAAACATTTGTTCATTTCCGTTTCACGACAATATTCATATTAGCGGCAAATTTTCTGTGCCTTCAATTGTGAGATTCTCTCTCAATAAACATGCCAGGGCATTGGTCCATGATGATTGCTACCCCAATTCCCATTCCTATGACCATTCCTGGGCTTCCATTCAAAGTCACTGTCTCCCCTCCCTTCCCATCATTCATTTGTGATTCGTTTCTTTTTTTTTTGTTTATTTTAACTTTTGCTTCGATTCGGGAAAATGAATTTGAAATCCAAACATTTCTATCATGCAAGTACTCGTAAACGATATTATTTATAAGGCATTTGTGCTGATGTTTTTATATTTATGGCATTGGGCCGAGATTTATTTTTATTGCCAAGTTATTACGCATATCGATATGATAATAAATTTCCCAGCAAACTGAAAATGCTGTCGATGCTCAAGTGAAAGCTCAGTCGAAGCGTGCCATTCCCTTTCTGCATTCGAACATTTTGGGTTCCCAAGTAGATTAAATTTTACATATAGAATATACATATATGTAGATGTACGTATGTATGTATGTATTTTGCTTACATTTTGGCAATTTTATCATTTCCTCGTGGTCGTTCTCTTGTCTGGGTAAGACCCTAGAATTAGTCTGGGTAATTTTGATGCCAATTCGAGAGCTTTTTCCCATGAAAATACTCAACTATATATACATATATACATATGTATGTATGTAGACTTGCACTTTACAGGAGTTATTGCATTTGTCTCTGTCACTTGTATTGTTGACTTGGCTTTTGCATGTCATTGAACTTGGAGATTGTTTTGCATTTGGCAACTAAATGTTCCATAAATTTAAAGCACATAAAATTCATCGTCTACTGGTCTTTTATTTGCACATATATCTCCGCTCTTTTGTTTTCGGTCCCGTTCCCCAGAAAAGTAATTGAAATTTGCATTGTGGTTTTCGAAAGAAGAATTGTTTTGTGCGAGACACAAAAATTATGGCAATTTGAAGAGACATTTTTGGGTAAGCTTTTAATAAATTTAATTTGCAAACTGGCCAACGCATCAACAGAGATTTTCTGTCAGATTGTAAGTGAGGTGAAATTGATGTTGGATGTCATTTCATTTATTAATATTTGCTTTTAATTTGCAGCAGGAGCTTGATGAAAGGACCCAAAAAGAATAAATATAGATTTTATTTGTATTTTATTGTGGGACAAAGATAACCATTTATAGTGTGAGGATTCTATAAAGATCTGCCTCAAAAGGATCATGATGGCTCACACTCACACGCAATGTAACTAATCAATCGAATACCTATTTTGATTGACCCGAAACTTGTCCGCAATGAGCCTGATTGTATATTCAATGACATGGCAAGTGCATTTCCATTTGCATCTGCATTTGCGGGTTCATTTAAATCCAAGGAAATGAGCTCCTCGGGCAAAAGGGCAACTAAATTTCAATTAAGGTTTAAATGTGAGCACAGTAAATTGTGGCAAGTGTCCACGTGGGCAATCTGTTTCCATTAGTGCGTGAATGAGAATGTACGATATTAATGCGTAATTATGCTAACAAGTCAAAGGGCCCCGGCCCCCCTGGGCCATGTACCCGTACAATACGGAGTATCTAATGCAGCTAAATCAGTTTAATTATAAAAGATTAACCAGACGGTGTCTGACAGCTAGACACAGTCTGCTAGACCAGACCAGACCCTTACGGCAGACCCTCAGTAAAGACCCTCGCTTCGGCTGATTTAATTGAAATGCCCAACACAAAAGTCAATTCGAATCCAATAACAATGCTGTTGCCGAGGCGGAAGTTTGTTTTGGACTAATCCCAAATGATTAACGAAAATGCGCGTGAAAGTGTTGGGATACTCTCGGTCTCGGTCCCTATCTCCCGGTGGGGCTTCCCACTTCCCTCTGCCTACGCTTACTATGTCTGCCTTTAGTCCCTCTGCCTGAGGCACATAATTCAATGCGGCTTAGTTGTTGTTCCTCTTGGTGTTTTGCTAGCGTGTGTCAATATTGGTGTGGGGAAATGGAAAGCATCGACTGTGTATACATTTGTCATAGAGATGGGTGCGTGAGCGGAAATGGAAATCGGCTAATCATGATGTAGGATAATCAGGTTAATGGAATGGATTTGTGGACTAGCTGGATCATATAATTAGGTATAAGTATAGGTGTATAGGTGGATTATCCTTTAAAGTGTTGGGTAATGTGTATATAAAGTAATAAATGACAATCCTAGGCGTGTTCTCTGTTCATCTTCCACGCACTCAACTATCGTTCTCTGATCTATGTCCCAAACACGTACGCATCTCTATCTCCTTATGGTGACAGGCTGTACCGGTGCTGGTGGTATCGGTTTGGTTGGATAACCAGGAAAGGGATGGAGCATAAGGCGTGAGCGTGGGCATTATATGCGTGCGGAATTCAATAAAAATTCTAATGGTTTTCTGATGATAATCTCATGGCTGTGAAAATCAAACAGCAAAGCGTTTCCCGGGCAATATTTGCACTTTGGTCTCCGATTGGGTTTTGGTTTTCCTGTCATTCGTTTTGTTGCTGTTGCTGTTGCTGCTGCTGCTGTTGCCTCTGGTTCTGGTTCCTAAATTTTTGCCACGCTCCAGTCTGTCAACTTGGTAACTTCGATTGAATTCCTTTATCTGGTGGTGGGGCCATGCTCCGCTCTTCGCTCTCCGCTGCCTTTTGCTCTGCTTGCCTTTGTCCCGCTGCCAACTCCACTTCATGCTTCGTTAACTGTAAATTCCTGGCAGTTCTGGAACATACGTTTGACTTTCTCGCCCTCTCTTTCACTCTGTCACTCTCTTTCTCTATCGTTGTCGGACTGGATGCGCACCTTTTTTTCCAGCTCCCCAACATGGAGCTTACATATTTGTTAATACCTATGTATATCCCCCGACGGCTGGGACTGCTGTAGAAGATTGGCTTTAATCCTATTTGCCGCATTTGCTGCTTGGTTAGGTTTTTTCATTTGGCCCCTCCCGTACTCCCTCTGTTACACTTCTTGTTTATTTTTCTCTCACTCTCTCTCTCTTCTCTCTCTATCTTTTTTTTATCTCTCTGTATTCCGGTTTAGAAGTTGCACTTTGACATTGTGATTGGCATTGACAATATTCTTTTGTTTTTAAAGTTCTCTCTCCTTTTGTTGTTGAACCCTTTTTTCCAGTTCTGAAATTGAAAAAAAATATAAACAGCTTAAGCTTAAAGTTTGCTTCTGGGAGCTTACGCTGCGTATGGGCAACAATTCATTCCTCTGGCGGGTTTTATTTTTAATCTATGTAAACAGCCGTAGGTGGCAGACGTCTGCTAGAATTATTCTGACTAAAAAGTAAATAAATTGGATGAATTTAAATGAGATATGCAGATTCAACACTCTGGAGTGTGCATGAAAATTATGAAAACAAATATTTGAGTTTTATATGAATCGCGGAGACTTGTGTTTTAGTTGAGAAATTTAATGCTTAAATTTGGCATCGAATTGAGCTCTGTAGCAATTGACAGTTGTTTTTTTTTTAATCCATCTTAAAGTACTTTAAATCAGAATTTTTTTCCATGCCAAATCTTTTACCTTCATCCCCTGATCATTGATTTTTTTTCGCTCAAACGCATGCCGTAGAATTTTTACATATACATAAGGGTCCAAGGGCACAAGGGCCAGCCAGCGAAATGGTTAAATGGTTGCCAACAGTTCCGCTTAAATCTGGCAAACTTTCACTCGAATAACTGTACCGCAATCGCATGTCGCTTGTGCAGTGCTGTGGGCCAGCCACTGGCGATAAGTCCACCAAAAAGTCATTAAACTTGTACTCCCAACTTTTTTCTCGGGGCGTGTCCATGAAAAGGCAAACGAGAGTCAACTTTTATGCACATGGCCGCCGTCAATTCAATTCAATTCACTTTCTTGGCACTAAACAGCTGCGAGGCGGATGACACACACACACACACACAAACATATACTCGTACACGGGGAAGCCTGGGGTCTATTTCCGGTTGAGTGCAGAACTGGATGCGTGTGTGCTTGCGCGTGTGTACTCGTATCTGTGTGCGAGCTACTTCCACTCTGCGTGCAAACGGCGCAACAAATTAGCGACAAAACTTTACGGACGCCACAGCAAACAGCAATTAAAAATACAAGTACAACAACAGCAATTACAAAATGCTTTCGGCGAAATGGAAAGTTTTGCGGTTTGGGGGAAATGCTGCCACATCAGCGCAAGCAAGTAATAACAGTTTTGGTTGCTTGATGGAGTCTGGAAATGGGGGGGTTGGCTGCGACGGGGAATCGCAGAAGCCAGCCCCATATTCAATTTGGTGCAGCTTTTAATTTTAATTAGCGCCAATTAAAAGGAAATTCACTCTGCTGGCCTCTCTCTATCTCTCTGCGAGAATCCCATGACGCTGCTCCTTCCCATTATGTGCACACGCACACAGAAAACAAATTGTGGTGTGTTTTTCCCGGCAGCTCGTGCCATCTTTAACGGAGAGATTCCTTTAATATATAATTGCTATACGAAACTACAAATTTTCGAATGGAATTTTCTACTCTCATTTTGTTTTTGGTTCAGGTGAGGCAAAAGCCAGAGGGAAAGAGACAGACAAAAGAAGTGTCGAAGTCTTAAAAAAACAGAGCGGGCAATGCGACAAAGAAGATACAAAGACGGTAGAGAGAATAAGCCATAGAGAAAGAGAGAGAGAGAGAGAGAGATTTAATTTAGGAGAAGGAAGCTCTTTTTAATATTATAAACGAACTTGAGATGCTCTGACATGAATGAGAATTAATAAAGCGACTACGTAATCAGATTATGAGCGAGGTGAAGAAGCATACATGTGACTTGTAAAACGTGCCCTTGAAGATCGCACAAGCTAAAAGCAGAAGGAAGTTAAACTGAATTCGAAAAGGGGAAGAACTTAAACCAAGGATTTAATATAACGAAATCAAACCAGTTTGTGAGAAGAATATCATCTTTTGAGTGGAAATTATAAAAAACATTCGTAACGTAAAATTTATCCCAAGTAATTGAGTTAAATAGAAAAAGACTAAAAACTAAATAGCCAATAAATAAGAAAAAAAAACTTTAAATTAATTCAATAAATAAATAAAATGAACCTGAACGGATTAATAATCCCACACAAATTGGATGTCAGGTGCCAGTCCACTTGATTTCTTTTTAATGATGTGTGCAACAAAATAGTACATTCAACTCGGGCATATTCCTTTCTGTTTCGTATTGGGGCGATGGCAGTGCATCATCAGAGGATGCCTGGCAGGAACCAGGGCACGAATTCGCATTTTGTCGAGCGTGTGACTTCGTGTGTCCCCCTCCCGTTGTGTGTCCAGTGTGCGAGCGCGAGTGTGTTTCCCAATGTTTTATGTGTGCGGTGTGTTTTGCCTGCGAGTGCACAAAGTTAAATGGTTTTTTCATATACTATTCCCAAGCAGGCCAAACTGGCCGTCTATTTCGCTTTCTTTATCTTTTTTGCACTCAATTTCTCTGTGTCTCACAAGCCTGCCTTACTTTTCTGTGAAATGGCATTCGGTTTTTGGTACTTCTCAAATTCGTTGGTGGAATTTGAGTTTCGGTGCAAACGTTAAATAATTAAAGTATGTGTTTAATAAACTGATTTACCATTATTCCATCAATGGGTCTTCAAATATTACGCATACGTAGCGTTGAGTGCTGTAGCACCGCTCGCCTTTGTGTGATGCATGCGTTTCCTGCCGAATCAACTGTCAAATAGTGATTATCAGCCATTTTGCATACAGACTCATTCCCGAAAATCCACTCGCAGATGGCTGAGTGCGTATTCTAGTATGTACATGTACTCGTGCTTGTTCGCAGTCTGATGTCCTGGCGTCCTGGTGCTTGTGTTCGCTTACCTTTGCTTTGCCGTGGGTACTCGTACATTTAAATTTCCATTTGAAATTGGCAGCCCAAGAGAGAGGGGCAGGTGGAAAGAGGGATCCAAACAGACAGCTGTTACAATATTATTGACTCATATCGCATGCACGACACAAGCTTCCCACCAAAAACCTGCTCCAGTCCTCGAGGACACCCTTCAGGACACACTCAAACAAGCTGCCTGCGCGCTTCCTTTTTGATTTGCCATCGACCCGGAATCGTACCCGGGTGTAGAGGGTAGAGTTTTGAGTGCGGCGAACTTGGCATAAAATTAAGTGCTCCATTTTAATTGAATTGATGTCGACCTGGTCCCGGGGAGTGCTCCGAAACGTGTTCGTCCTCCTTTGGCTCAGGTACGTTTTGACAGTCTTGTGTCAATAAATGGCAGTGGCTGCGCTGTGCTTCAGCCACATATGTTGCCACTTGTGGGGATGGAATACCTTTGACTTCGGTTTTTATGCTCTTCTTGATTTTATTTTCGGTTGGGGTAATCATCGGGGAACTCGACGGGCACGTCTTCACTGTGAGTTTCTCCTTCCGTGCTGCCGTGCTGGAAAGTGGCCACATCTGTTTGATAATGTCTGCCGAATGTTTATCACTTTGTTCGTGTTATATTATATTTTGGGTTTCTGCCATTCATGAATGTTAAAGCTGAGATTTTACATTTGATTTCAGAGCGAAGTCAAAGTCATTCACAGATTTTCTTTCAAATTAAACTCCAAAAGGAGATTATCATATCATGATGCGAGTATAACCCATTATCATCATCAATGATTCCTCAAACAAAAATGATCAACAAGTGGAAATAATAAATCATAGGTCCGTGACTTCGCACGGGAAAAATGCCATTTAAATGGAAATTTTCAGGCTCAGTAGCAGCCAAACGAACCAGGCGATGGCAAAAAAGTTATTTCCTCATTTTCCATTCCCGCAACTGCGGCGTTAATCGCTGGGGCCGGGCCCGCAGCAGAAGTCAACTCTAGAGGTTTCTCCCCCCTCAACGCGTTGGTGGCATGTGGAACCGTATTCGTTACATTTAAGTGGCGTTTGTTAAGTACAACACGCTTGACATCATTATCGCGAGTGTCAACAGTGGCTTCTCAGCCACGGCTCAGTCCTGTGTCGATGATGTTGTTGGAGGAGGCTGAAGTTTGCCCTCTGATTGACAACGGTTTTGGGTGGTAGGGTGTCAAATTTTTGTCAATTGTCGCTCGAATCCAATTTCACAGTCCCACACATCAGTACACACGTTGAGAGAAAGTCGTAAACAGCGACTTTAAACATCCAGGCAACAGAGTCGCCGAAAAAGGCATCAACAATATTGGCATCGTCATCGTTATCTGACAGTTTGTGTTTGACAAAAGTGTCAAGGCGCTAACGGTGCCTGACACTAGAGGTACGGTGCTGGTGGCGGTGTTGACAACCCTGGCAACTGTCACAACTTTTTGCATCATGTCACGCACTGTAAATGGCATGGAAAGTTTTAAGGGAAATATTAAACTAGACTTTTCTGTTGAAATTTCGTCGAAAGTTTTCCTTAAATTTAATGCAGATTTTATTTTCATTTGATTTATTTTTGGAAATTTATTGAGGACTCACATTTAATCACGTTCCAGAACGAGATTATATTGAGTAAACGTTACGAAACTTTATCTCGCCTGTTGATTACTTGGGCCACACAACTTTCTCCTTTGAGCAATCGTATTCATACTTCTGATGATGTTTACTCTTTTAAGGCACGAAAAACTTGCCAATAATCTTTAATCCACATTTGAGTATGATTCGATGATATTTGCTTATCTAAATAAACAGAAAAATTGGAAAATTGTTTCCTTTGACTGGCGCGCACATGTTGTGCAATTACTTTTCTGCCTGCCATAGCCAAATAGAAAGCATTTCCCCATCCACAACAAAATGCTCTCTGGCCTGAGTTCCCCCGAATAAGCCGCAAAAAGTAAATGAAATGTGCAATCTGTGCAAAACCGAAAATCTGAAACATTTTTGCAATGGAATAAAAAAAGTTCTGTTTTTTTTTTATTTGGGGAAAACTACTGGAACATCAACGGATTTTGGAAGCCAGTCAAGTAACTCCATTTGCTCAGCCATAAATATTCATTTATTTTATTAAAAAATATTTTTGGTTTACCCCCAGAATAAGGAAATTGAACAAATTGCATGGAAAACTAAGCCAGCACAGGATATGTAGAAAAATGCATTTCTGTAGAAGGAAATTCCTAGGGGGTACTAATGATTATATTTTACTCCCTGCTAACTCTGGGTATGCATCAAAAGGTAAACCATATGTTGGAAAAGCATTTATAAATTATGGAAAACTAGTTTCCGTACAGTTGAAAGCGTACATATATATAAAAGGATAAACATACATACACATGGTCTCCCCGGGGGAGTGATATTGGGAAATGTGTCAGCAGTCATGCTGGCAATTTGCATTCTGACAACGAGTTGGTCAAACCAACACCTGTTCGGGCTGCACGGCATTGTGAAAATGTAGAAAAATATACGAGTATTTTTGCAAATTGTTTCTACTGTTTCATGCTGTGCGTGGTGTAAAGATGACTTGTCAGCAGCAGTTAGAACATTTTTCCCATTTCCATAAAATATAATTAAAAGCAACACGAGGCGACAGGCAGCAGCAGGGGCCGTCTATTTTTGTGGTTATACCTTTCAGGACTCCAGAGATTTCTTGCATATTTTGCGGTGTCGTATGGTGTCTCAACATATTTGGCTTTGCTTTAAATGCAATTATTGTTACGATTATTGTGCAAATTTTGGCATTTTGGTAGCTGCCATCTCCCAGTCATGTCTCTGCTCTGTTTTGCTCTACTCGAGCATTTTCCCAAAAATAATTGCATATTTTATTGCTGGCGCTGTTGTTGCTTTTGTTGTTTGCAGCTGACAAATGCCTTTTGTGCTGTTTGTTTAATTGTAACTATGTCTAATTGGAAGCATCAACACTTGTTTTCTGCAGACATCTTAATTAAAATACATGTACATATACATATATATTCCGGTCTGGTATCTGTCTTGGCAGTGACTAAGCTAAGCTGACTCCTGGCGCCCGGCACTGAAGCTGCAAGTGAAGTTTGAATGACTGCCAGGCAGGCCGGGAAATCGAGTATACTACTCGTATACGCCCCTTGAAAAATTTATCTGACATTTTCGCTTGCTTTGTTTCGGGCACCGCCAACAGCCAACAGGCAAGAGCTTGGCCAAAAAAGTATTCACGCTCCATTTGAAGCTCATCTCGGAGGCAGGGCTCAACGCTGTCCTCTATCATGACCAGAACCAGAGCCAGACCCAGAGCCAGAGCCAGGGCCAGAGCCCAAGCCAACATGTACACGTAAGCGACAGCTGAATGGATCTCATCTGAATGACCCGACACCAGGCCTCCCTCCCCCACACTCATTAGTTGGAGCCCCCTGACTTCCTTTTGTCTGTGCTTCACTTGACAACCCGTTTTGTGTTTTGATATTTCGTCACTTAAGAACCCCAGAGGCAGCCCTGGCACAGGGGCCCCCAGATATGGGACCAGAGAAATTGTTTTTACATAAACAGAAAACCGCTCTGGCTTTTCTAGTCTTAGGCAGCTCCGCACAGGGCAGCAATGTCAGTCATAATCATTCTGTTCCCCCATCTGTGTGAGTGCTTAGTCGGGGGAAGGACTGTGCGAATGGTTTGGGGGGTAATACTCTGTAACTGAGATGGTCTCTTGTAGCTCAGGAGATTGTTGCCTCAGGCCCAGAACCTGCCAGGATATAAGCCAAACAATGGTTAACCAATTTAGTGGAATGTGTGGTCCGTCTGGCCTGTGGCCAGGCTATTGTTCGGAATTGATTTTAAAATTAGCTTAATATTCAGTAGAATGTGCAAAGCTGATTGGGCTTTAAGTAGAGCATTAAAGTTTAGTTGTGGACAAGCTTAGCAGCTGCTAAAAGAATTCAACAAAAACTCCGCGTAAAGAAATCTAGCTTAAAAGCTTATCCTTATCTAAAAAATAGCTTCTGTGCAGACCTAAAATTTTCTATTTTTTTATTTCCCGATCATTTAATAAGATTAGCCGAATTATGCATTCAAAGTGCAAAAATGATGTCAGACACTGACAGAGACAATGGCGGAAAGGCCAAAGAGTGTAAGAGAAGACAAAGGGCAAAGATGGAACGCAAATTGCATACAAATGCAGCAGGAGTTCCAGTAGAAACTCCAGGAGTACACTGCTTAGCTTAATGTATTTCCCTTGAAACTCTGTCCGTCCTCTCCCTGGAGCTGGGACTTTCTTCCGGCACATTGCGACCATTTTATTCGGATATATTTTTGCCAAGGCAGAGGCTCCCATTTCTGCTTTCCACGAGTTTTGTTTTCGTTTGGTTTGATGTCAAACGATGGCTTCGTTGCTCGGTGGAATCGTGAATGGCTTCAGGCCGTGAAGTCGTGAATAAAGTTGCATGCCATGCCCCCCTACGGAGCTAGAGTGGGAGTGGGACATCTGACAAATGTGCCAAGTCAAACAATGGATTAGCAGGGCTATCTCTATATAGAGCGATGCTCTCCCCCGCTCTGGCAATTTAATTTCGTTGAGCGAGTAGAATTATTGACCCAAGTTTTCGGGCATAAATTATTCAAGTGTCGTGTATAATTTGAGTTTTCCTCAATTTCGTTTCGAGTGGCTGCCAAGTTGCTCGCAGATCGCACTTTCGAGTGCTATTAGTGCAGTCGTTCATGCAGCTCCGAATTGATGGCGGCTTCTTTGACTTACGATGCTCTGCAGCAAGCTTTTTGGCGCATTGCCTTTCCGAAAGTCATAATTCCTCACTTTTTTTTCACTCAACGCACTCTCTCCTCCCTTTCTGTGCATTTTTTCTTACGGCCACTTTAAGTGGTGTAAATTGAAGAAAAGTGAAAGAGCTTTTCCCTGCTGTTGCTGGGATGGGAGTTTTAGAGTGGGCTCGACAGCCCAACAGTTTATATTAATTGTTCAACTATCGCCAGCTCGGAGATAAGTTTCCAAGTTTTAATTGAATTATTACAAAAGTCGTTGGCCATATTTCGGTGGCCTAAACAAAGTTTTCCTATTGAACGTTTGCCAGTTAGTAAATTAGAATATTACAAGTTTTGGCACGCGGCCGCAGCCTTTGCATAATTTAATTATGCCAACTCTCATGCATATTTAATGGAAAAGCTTTTTAACGCCTCCCATATTTATGTATTTTGAGGCGAGAGCCAAGAAAATCAACGCAAAAATTTATATATTGTTATTGAAAATGCACAATGTTTTCTCTGGAGAGTGTTTTCCCCAGTTTCTAATTAAGTTGTTCAATGCTTTTGCTTTCTGTTTGCCCAGCTAATTAGTGGAAATATGTTTTCAGTGGGAAAATCTTTGGATCTGCGGACCCATCGATTTTCCATTTTCCGTATTGAAGTGTAGACCACAGAGACAGCGTGACATGGTACTCCTCGACTGTGGTGTGTCGTTTAGATAGGACTGGATGCGAGGGAAAATTGATATACCAAAAAAATTGAACACACACACACACACACACACACACATGCAGATGGATGTATCTGTATCTGCAGCTGTTGGCGTGGCTTTTAAAAAGTGTTCGCCAGCCAATATTGATAGCATTTCCCATGT